GACCTGCAGACCAGGACCTGCAGACCAGGACCTGCAGACCAGGACCTGCAGATAAGGACCTGTAGACCAGGACCTGCAGACCAGGACCTGTAGACCAGGACCTGCAGATAAGGACCTGTAGACCTGGACCTGCAGACCTGGACCTGTAGACCTGGACCTGTAGACCTAGACCTGCAGACCTGGACCTGTAGACCAGGACCTGCAGATAAGGACCTGTAGACCTGGACCTGCAGACCAGGACCTGCAGATAAGGACCTGTAGACCTGGACCTGCAGACCTGGACCTGTAGACCAGGACCTGCAGATAAGGACCTGTAGACCTGGACCTGCAGACCTGGACCTGCAGACCTGGACCTGCAGACCTGGACCTGCAGACCTGGACCTGTAGACCTAGACCTGCAGACCTGGACCTGCAGACCTGGACCTGCAGACCTGGACCTGTAGACCTGGACCTGCAGACCTGGACCTGCAGACCTGGACCTGCAGATAAGGACCTGTAGACCTGGACCTGCAGACCTGGACCTGCAGACCAGGACCTGTAGACCAGGACCTTCAGACCTGGACCTGCAGCTTCTCTCAGCTGGTTTTCAAACAGAATCTGGACCCTCAGAGTTCCATGGGTCCAGTTTTCAGTCAGATACCGGGTCGAAGTCTCATTAATGGATTTTCCACAGACTGGTCTGCCTCCAGGCCTGACAGAGTCCAGGAAACAGTCCTCCTGTTGTTGCTGCTGTCTGTGTTAGTAAAATATTTATATACAGTTTATATCTGCAGCAGGTAAGACACTTACGTTCATGAAGAACACTTTAAAACTCTGAACCGCCTCTTTAATGACTGAGGACTCAGCTGATCTAAAGGACTCAAGACCCACCACACACACCTGGATCCTGAGTCCTGGTCTGTGGTTTAACCTGGTCCAAAGGACAGGGAGGTCCTGGTCTCTTCTGGTCTCTCCTGGTCTCTCCTGGACTCTCCTGGTCTCTCCTGGTCTCTCCTGGACTCTCCTGGACTCTCCTGGACTCTCCTGGTCTCTCCTGGACTCTCCTGGACTCTC